GTGGCATAGTGGGTTATGTGTTAGTCTGCGAACTGCAAAGTCAGTAGTTCAAAGACACCAGCCTCTCCTTGGGCTAGTTTTGCCAGGAGTGATTTAGTTCTTTAGAGCATCATTGGTTGGCCATGCTGGTCAAACACTTCATCAACTCGCCCCTAAGGACCCTGCAGGAGGAGCTTCTCGTTGGGGAGGCCTGTAAGGCTAGTGGGTGTGGATGATGTCACAAGCCTCACACGCTCCGACGTTCCTCATCCCTGCCTCGGGTGCAACGTTGTGCCATCTCAGAAACCCCCAGGGGCAGCTCTGCTCTGAAGTCAGGACCCACTCGGTGGCAGTGAGTGAGGTGCTCTTGTTGGTAGCTGAGGTTGAATTGAGTCCCATCCATGGTGAGCTTGTGTGTGCAAAGCAGAAAGCCCCGTGGGGTTTTCAAGGCTGCGGCCTTTCAGAAGAAGCAGATCCACAAGTGGGTCTTCCGAGGCACCTCTGGGAAAGTCATGCCCACCCACCTTTCAGCCAGTGGCTGAGTGATGCACTTGTATATTACAACTGCTTTTGCATCACTAGGGATTCGTGAACTACAACAAAGACCTTCGAAGCAAGCTGGGAAGAAAAGCTGTTGGGGGAGAAGCAGGGCCTTTTAAAAGCTGAGGGGAGCAGGCAAACAGAGAGAAGACGGTGGCATCCCCCCCTGTGTGGAAACTGAGTGGTGGGGAAGAGAGACACCTTAGGGTGACTGGATATAAGCACAGAAAGAGTGCTCACCCTCCCCACCCCACCCACACACAAAATGAAAGAATCAAGAACTGTCTGCCTGCTTATCTCTGCAGAGAGCACAACCCACACCCCCTGTGTATAGGCCACCAGAGACAGGGAAGGGTGAGACCCAGAGAGAGGCAGTAGAGACAGCAGGCCACCTCTCCTTGAGGAGAGGAAGGCAGACAGGGGCCCCGAGGCCAGAGCCAGGAAGACAAGGGGACCAAGGAAGCAGGTGGCTGGGCAGCCCCACTGAGGGACAAGTAGCTCAAATTTCACCATCGTCAGGATCCACCCAGCCCTCCAAGGTGTAAAGGAAAGACCACGAGGACTTGGTCACTGCGGCAGGACCGTCAGCTCATCTTAGAACTGAGTTTGGCTGGAGACATCCAGCAACGAGCCAAGTAGTGTGGCCCCAGGAGGGAGGTGCACGGCTTAATCAGCTGACAAATTGCAGCGTGATTTGTCTTCATCTCGGATTGTTTGTCCCTGAAAGAATCGATACCTGCAGGGAGAGGGCCGTATTTTTAGAAACTCCTGGATGGGTCATTTATTTCAAGTGAGAGAAGAGTTGATTTATGGTGGTGCCCCCCATAGATCTGACAAACAGTATATTTACACAAAGCCCAGGAAAAATGTTATCATTTCTTTGAATCAATGTGTCCCTTTGGACAACTGTACCTTGACATTCGCAGGGATAAATTCACTCCCCGTGCTAAAGTTCTACTCGCCAACTCTCCAGGTCCACCTTTAGCACTCCGGTCTTCTATTTGCATACTAACGATGCTGACTCAGAGTGACCCTATAGGACAGGGTAGCAATGCCCCCTGTGAGCTTCTGACACTAACTGTTTACAGGTCTAGAAAACCCCATCTTTCTCCCTGGTGGTTTCAAACTGCCAACCTTGAGGATCACAGCCCAGTGCATAACCACTATGCCAACAGGGCTTCTCACTATTTTCACAGCATGCTACATAACACAAAGCGTATTCATTTGGTTTTTATCTCCTAAGGCACGTATGAGATGGGACAGACATGCAGTGTTAGCCTCATTTTACAGATGAAGAAACTGGGGCTTTAAGGATTGAGCATGAGTTACTGTGGGGTAGCTTTAGAAAGCAAGATCTCCCCTCTGACCGTCCTGTTCCCCTACCCATTGAGCTATAAGAATGGAATTGTACAGTGTTAATACCTAAATAATGGAAGAAAGGTTAAGGATGGGTTTTAAATACGTATCTACAGGAACATTCCCTCTGAGGCATGTGCTGTGCTGATAAAGAGCAGATAATGTGGAGTCGGTTCTAACTCACGGGGGCCTGTGTACCACAGAAGGAAGCACTGCCTGTTGCTGGACCATCCTCACACGTACTCTTTGGCTGGAGCCATCCATGCAGCCACTGTGTCGGTTATCTTGCTGAGGGCCTTCCTCTTTTTTGCTGACCTTCTACTTTACCAAGCATGATGTCCTTTTCCAGAGATTGATCTTTCCTGAAAACATGTCCAAAGTACGTGAGACCAAGTCTCACCATCCTGGCTGCCAAGGGCATCTGGCTGTCCTTCCCACACGGAGTTGTTTGTTCTTCAGGCGGTGCTTGGGGCTTTTCAATAGTCTTTGCCAGCACCACAACTCACATGCACGGGCTCTTCTTCAGTTTCCCTATTCAGTGTCCAACTTTCACGTATCTGAGATGGTTAAGAAGGTCGTGGTTTAGATCAGGTGCAGTTTAGGCCTCAAAGTGACACCTTGGCTCTTTAGCACTTTAAAGAGGTCTGCTGCCACAGATGTGACCAATATCATGCAGCATTTTATTTCTTGACTTATTTCTTGTTTATCGATTATGAATTCAAGCAAAATGAAATCTTGGAAATTTTCAATATTTTCTCCATTTATCATTAGACAGAGTCAGACTCAAATTTAAATCCAGCCATGGTATGATAGTGGACAGCCTGCTAACCTTTCTAAGACTGTTTTCCCACCACAACCGAGACCTGTTGACACCGTGGTTAAGTTGTTCGGCTAAGAACCCAAAGGCAGCATTGCAAACCCACCAGAGACTCGGCAGGAGAAGGGTGCGGCAGTCTGCTTCCTTACACATGTACAGCCTGGGAGACTCCACAGCAGTTCTGCTCAGTCCTGTAGTCACCATGAGCTGGAACCCAGCTCAACAGTGATGGATTGTACTTGAAAAGAGGTGATTAAAATTCCTATCTCATATACATGATGATAAACTAAAAAAAAAACAAAAACCCTCACATAATGTTTTTGGCCTAGTGTCTGCCAGAAGTAAAAACTCAGTAAATGCTAGTTATTGTGTCTCATTAGTACTGCTTTTCCAGTAGCGTTCCTGGGTGGACAGGTGTTAATGAATGGTTGAAGAATCAAGTCTACTCAGAGTCCTGACAGAAAGGTCTATTTCTGTAAAAACCACTGAAAACCCTGCTAGAACTAACTCCATAGAACTAACAACTGCTTTATTTTTCTCCATCTTTTATAATGGTAAAACCAATGATAACTGTACCCCCCACCCCACTCGAGGGGAATGAACATCAGAATTGCAGGTGAACAGATGCAGCAATGGTGTTGGATACAGCAAATAATAATATATAGTGTAACAATAACAATACGGGTTCCTGGGGGATAGATTGGGGAAGGGAAGGGATAAAGGAGAGCTGGTCTCAAAGAGTTCTAGAAGAACGGAAATGTATTGAAAGTGATGGTGGTAGCCTTTGTAAAATTATGCTTGATCTCCTTAAAATATGGATTGTTACAATATCTGTAAAAGCTCCCAATAAAAATGTTAATAGTAAAAAAGAAAAAATGTGAACATCCCCTATCTAAAGGAAATAGGATGCATTCATGCAATGACTCTCCATGCAAACATTAGTCAAGATCTAGAAGAATTTAATAACTTAAACATACTCAAGACATATGAAAACTAAATCTCATTTTTGAAGTACTTAAGTATGCACATACAAATGCATATGTAAATGGACATATATTTCTTAACTTTTCATTGTAAATCAAGTGAAGATTTACAGAGATCAGCTTTCCACTCATATACATTTTGTTTGTTCTCATTGATTGCAATCCCCTCTTAATAATATCGCATAACCCATTGCCTCCGGTGTTTCCTTTTCCACTCCTTCTTTCTTAACCATGCCAAGTTTTGTCCCAGGGTCAGTGCTGTACTTTTGACATTCAACAGTTGATTTTGGTAATATGTGCATACTTCATTAGTGTCAGTGTTCCCTTTACAGACCTCGCTATTGTTTGACTGAAAATGGAGCCACAAGAGGGAGTTCAGTTGCAGATTTGAAGGGTGATGACTAAGGGCCTTGGTCTTAAGGGTTCCACCAGTCTCTGTTGATGTTGTTGTTGTCAGGTGCCATTGCACATAGCAACATGCACAACACGAAACCCAGCCCAATCCTTCACCATCCTCACAACTGTTCCAATATCTGAACCCAGTGCTTCAGCCACTGTGTCAATCCATCTTGTTTGTTGGTCTCTCCTGACAACACGTACTAAGTATGTTAAATAAAGTCTTGCCATTCTTGACTCGAAGAGGGTGGTATTCTAGCCCTACTTCTTCCAAGAGAGCTCTATTTGTCCTTCTAATGCCCATGGTAATTTCAACCTACTTGGCCATCTGACTGGAAGAGATCCACCAGTCTCTAATATGTGTGTGTGCATATATATATATTAAAGCCTGTAAGTATTATTTGCATAAGCATATTAACGGTAGTTATCTCTAGGTAACCAGGTTTATAATCCCTTCTTTTGATCTTTCTATGTGCTGTTAAATATAGCTGTTTATGAGCCATATTTAAATCAAACTGTAAATGTATTTTCTAATTAAAGTTAAATTATCAAATCAATTCCTCATTCATGCATTTCAAGTGCTGAATAACTGCATGTGGCTAGTGGCTTCCACATTAGACAGCGTAGACTGAGAACATTTTTGTCCTCACAATCAATTCTGTTGGGCGTGGCTGATCTAGAGACTTTGGCCTGGGGATTCCCGAGAGATGCATCCAGGACAGGGGCCTCCATCCAACTTTTCATTTGCATCTACTTTTTCCTCCTTAGTGGGGATTTAACTTTTCTTTTAACACATTACAATGATCACAGCATGACAATGCGAGGATTACCTTATTTGCACTGGTTCCAGCCCTGATTAACTTTCCCATGATGCTATTAAAACTGCATCCCTCTAACTTAATAACCTCACTCAGTCCTCTCTCCTGTAGGAGGCCCCGTTCGAACCGGAACGTTTCCACAATACCATTGTGTGTGAGAAACCCAACAACAACCTCAACAAATTTAAGGGCTACATGTAAGTATCTAATGTCCAGGGGCGACTTGTAAATCTCTCCCCTGCAGCTGGGAAGCATGTGTTCTCGAAATGGCCAAACGACATCTGGAACCTGAGAAAGTTTATTTCTTGTTAACAACATGCAGAGAGAACCCTAAGTAAAGTTAGGAAACTTTGCTTTGCTTTTTCTGTAGGAGCGACAGTTAGTTACCTTTCAAGGTTAAACTCACTAAATGATTCTTTAGACCTCTGTTCTTCTCTCTGGAGCAGTGGTTGTCATCTAAGGACAGTTTGCCTCTCTCTACCCCCACAGATAGCGGCAATGTCTAGAGAGGTGTTCAGTTGGCATCACAGAGCAGAGGAGGTGCATCTGTTACCTAGTAAGTGAAGGCCTAAAATACTGCTACATCTCCTCCACCGCTCAGGACAGTCCCCACAATGGAAAAACAGGCAGTCCCAATAGTTAATAGAACCAATGTTGAGAAACACTCCACTAGAATCACTGACACGGAGCATCCCATAAACAAAGAGCACTGAACAGAGCAGCCATCGCTATGAGACAGCTAATCCTTTTCTACTACCCAGTAAAAAGGAACATTTACAATTGGGAGCAGTAGAAGTCTTTATTGTATAGTCTCACTTGAAAGCATCATAAAAAATGTTATTTCCACTACATGCAACTAGCAAGATTCATTAGCCCAATATTCGGCCCAATGCCAGCCCCACTCCTTGGTATGTCTTAAACTGCAGCCCTTCTTGTTTCAGCTTTAGAATTGTATCATATTCACAAAACATCTATATTTTTTCCAACAAATTTTTATAGACTTATTTGTTTCTTAAATGTATTCCTAAAGAAAAAGTGGTATCTCTGGCCCTGTGGGACGCCAGTGTTACTTGCCATCCATAGAAGATAACAGCAAACATTAGTGCAATTGAGTCAAAGTAGTGTCTTTCAATTGGACATCTCCTTACAGAAGGGTCACAAGGAAGAGACGAACCAGACAGGGTGCTATATAGCACCAATGAAATGCACAACTTTCCTACAACTAGAGTCTGGTTCTTTAATCTCCTCCCTCCCCTCATGACCCCTATTCTACCTTACAAATCTGGCTAGACCAAGCATGCACACTGCTACAGATAAGAGCTCAAAACACAGGGAATCCAGGACACATAAGCCCCTCAGACCCAATAATAAGAGTAATGATACCAGGAGGAGAAGGTGAAGGTGGAGGTAGAAAGGGGGAACGATCACAATGATCTACATATACTCTCATCCCAGGGAGACGGACAACAGAAAAGTGGGTGAAGGAGACATTGGTCAGTGTAAGACATAAAAATAATAATAATAACTTATAAATTATCAAGGTTTCATGAGTGAGGGAGGGGAAAAAATGAAGAGCTGATACCAAGGGCTCAAGCAGAAAGAAAATGCTCTGAAAAAAGAAGAAGAAGAAGAAGAAGAAGAAGATGCTCTGAAAATGATGATGGCAACAAATGTACAAATGTGCTTGGCACAATGGGTGGATGTATGGATTAAAGAAAAAAGGCACTGTCTTGCTCTCCTAATGACTATTACTTGCCCAAATCCACTATGCTAAAGAGTAAGGTAAGTAGGTGGTCAGGGACATACCAGTACCAAGCAGAGACATCCTCCTTGGTAGACTGAGAATAACTGAAGTGGAAATGGCTCTGTGGTTCAGGGTCAGTTAATGAGGTACTACTATGGGAACTCTCAGAAAAACCTCCCTACCTTTGAGTTCATTTCAACTAATAGGCAGCCCTACAGGACAGAATAGAACTGTCCCTGTGACCTCCCGAGACTAACTTTCTATGAGATTAGAAAGCCTATCTTTCTCCCTTGGAGTTGCTGGTGGTTTTGAACTGCTGACTTTATGGTTAGCAGCCCAATGTGTAGCCCAATACACCACCAGGGCTCCCAAAGGGAAGCCTACTGCTATGAAATTGCGTTAGGTTTGGTGCCAATGGCCTGCATTTCCAAGTCCTATCGTGTCCCATGTAGTAGGTGTGTGGTTCTGGGAAAATAACCCAGTCTTTCTGTGCTTCAGCTTTTTCCTGAATAAAAGTAATCATCTGCTACCTTCCATGAGCTCTGAGAGTCAAATTATGTCATGTAACTAAATGTACTTTATAAATGCAGTAAGGAATTGTTAGTATTGAAAACTGTATAGAGCAGCAGTACAGAACTTTGGGGGTCAGACTTCCTCCACTTAAATCCCATTCGACCATTACTAGCTCTATGAGCTTGCCTCTGTTTCCCTATCCAAAAAAGTGAGTATGATAACATGGCTTATCTTATAAAATTGTCCTGAAGCTAACATTATGCAAGACCAGACCAAGAGAAATGGAGTATTGAAGAACTGTCACGAGGAAGACATCCTCAAAGATCAATAACCCTTTCTCTGAATCATATGTTTTGAAAATTAGAGTAAAACTTCCTGAAAATCCTAAAGGGATAGCATCCAGGTAGAATAAGGGCCAGGCACCAGGTAATAAGTGGGAGCTTCCTGGATATGGGAGTTTCTAGTGTTTGGTGGAAAACTACAGTGTTTTTCTCAGGCTGGAGGAGGAAGTTCTGGCTTAAATGGCCTCCTAGTAATCTGGACACAAGACCCCTGTCCATCTCCTGTGAGGTCTCTTTTTTCCTCAGGAGACTGGGCTGGGAAGTCTAGGACAGGTGAGAGACCCAGTGCTGTATCTCAGAACAAGAGGAGTCATGACTTGCCCTTGCCCTGCTCATGGCATAGAAAGAGGGGATCTTTGGGGTCTTCTTGGCCTTGGGCAACTATCTTGTGCAGTTCTGGTCACAGCAACTATGTGAATGAGCATGGGGATGTGTCCTACAGAGAGCACAGCTCCAGCCTGGTCCCTACATTTTGGCCTAACAGCCATTTTGAATGTGAAAACGAAAGCCAAGGCTTTTAGCACTGCTCCCTGCCTACTGTGTGGCTCCATGATGGTTCCTCCAGCGGGTATAACTGCCTCCTGATTGTCCAACCTCCATGCAGGCCTCCTCAGTGAAGCACCAGTCCACTTGAATGTGAACGGCTTTAGACTCAGAGTGGGGATCCGTCCCCTGGAAGGGAAGGGAACGATCACACTCAAGCAACACTTCCAGTTTAGTGACATTAACTAAAGACTAACCAGTCTCTGTTTTTCCTTATTCCAGGGAGCATCCTGATAAGACCAGGACTGGCTTTGGCAGTGAGAGTCTTCTGCTTCGAGGCTGTACCATCAGAAACACTGAGCTGGCCATTGGCATTGTCATCTATGCAGGTCATTGTCCCTGGACAATTTCTCTTGTCCGTTTCCTTTATTGTCTCTCCTCCACTCTTTGCCCCAACCCCTGCCTCCAAGTCCTTCTTCATTCACTCAGCAAGGCCTCACGAGAGCTCTACTGGGAAAGCGCTTTGTCTCTTCCCATGCCTCAGCTAAGCAAACTGGGCTCTGGTAGTCATAGTGGCTCACTCAATCCACAGGAAATGTAATCAGATTCTCAGTTAATGTCACTCCTCTGAACAAAATGAGGAGAGGGATCCATATTCACTCGTCTCTTCTGGTTTTGTGACACGAACTAAAAGCAAGATGGAAATTACTTTCTTGAGCCTGAAGATGAACTTCACCAAACCCAGCTTCGCCTTTAACCTCAATGTCCTCATTTGTACAATCAGAGCATTTGTAACTGGCTTACAGAGCATGGTGAAGACTGAATAATTCTGTGCTTAGAAGGCATCTAGCACTGTGTCTAACCAAGTGAAACATCAATGAGTTTGCATTGTTGTCTATGTACTTAGGTTTGTATTTTCATTATTAACTTTATGACTCAAGATCTAACGTTCACTTCTCTTACCTACTTTGATTTTGCTTTCTGTTGGAAACAAGATGACAGCAGCACCTCTTACTGGAGTACAAAGTCTTTGAGGACAGTTCAGTGGCTTCTGTATCCCCAATACCTGTTTCTCAGGGCTCCACACGTGCTTGTACTTAGTGAATAGCTGCTGTGTGGTGAACAACTGAGAGATTCGTCCTGCTCGAGAACCGTCTCCCAGGAGTGTCTACCTTTGGTGAACACATTTCTCCAGGTCTAAGACTCTTGGGATAGCTCCTTAGTTTGTTTGTTTGTTTGTTTAGTTTGGATTGATTTGTTTGGGTCTGAATAAAACTCCATTTTTTATGGGCATATGTGAGCATTTAAAATTCACTTTTAGGGGTTATCAAAAGAAAACATAGTTGATGCTCTTTTATAATGTCACAGTCTAGTTTGCATTCCCTATTGGAGAAGAGTAGTGTTTGGCAGTTCAGAGAACTCTTTTAACAAAGGCTTTGGCAACAAGCTTGCTACCATCTGATCTACTACTATTCATAGCCGTTGAGCCGTTGCCGATTCATAGTGACCCTATAAGACCCCTATGGGTTTGTGAGAGTAGTAAGCCCCATCTTTCTCCCAATACCATCTGATAGACCTACTCAAAAATTGAAATCTAAAAAAAAAAGTATGCTTAGTCCTTTGCTTGTCTGCCTAAAAAGAAACACAGAAGAAACTTTGAGCAAGTGATAGAAGTAGGAGATGAAGGGACAGATTTGGAGAGAGGGTTACCTGTGGCTTTCTGAATCAGGCTGCTTGGGGTGGAAATCCACTCACCTGACACATGTTCCAGAGCATGTTGGCTAAACTTTAAACACAAAAGGGATTAACAGCTCCTACGTCATAGGATTATAAAATTCAAATGAGATTGTGAAAAGGGGCTTCCCACAATGTCTGGCATATTAAAACTGTGAGCCAAATAGTAGTGATTATTTTTAGTAGTATTACCAATAACTGGGGTCTCAACCACTGCATTCTTGACATTTGGGGCTGGATAACTCTTGATTGTGGAAGGTGGTCCCATAAGGATTTTAGCAGCACCTCTGGTCTCTCTACCTACTTGGGGCCAATTGCAATTCTCCCTCTCCCCAGTTGTGACAACCCATAGATTCTTGAGACAGTGCCAGCATCCCCTGGGGGCAGAAGGTACAGCCACCAATGGTTGGGAATGACTCATCCAGAGTGACCAATGAGCAAAAAATGAGAGCCTTAGAGCCAGAGGTCCAGAAAGACCAAAGTGGGCTTTCCAAAAGGAAAAAAATCCAGTGTGCACATTTTGTTCCAGCTGTCATTTTGATGACCTAAAATAATTTTAAGAATGTGCAAGTAAACATTTATTGAACCCCGACTCTGTAGTACCAGGAACTATTTTAGATGCTTTCCATAGATTGTTCGCTTTCTCCCTACACACACAACCATTACCACCACCACCCCCACCCCCCATTGCAGATGAGGACATCGAGGTACAAAGAAACCTTAGTTGGCTCAGATGGTCTCCCTGTAGCCCAAGGTCAAGAATCTGCAGCGCCAGACTGTGTCTGTCTGTAGAACCACGTTCTAAACACTGCAGCTCCTTCTTGCCATGATACCACACTGCCTCCTCTGACAACCAACTCAGAGAATGCCACGGAGACATTCAGAAAGTGGGGAGAAGTGAGCAAAGGGGTGACCTCCCTAGCCTTTCTGTGGGGTGAGCCTGAGGCAGTCAGAAAGGCCAAGGTCCAGGAACACCATCTAGAGAGCGCATGGTGCCCCAGGAAGCCCTCAGAATGGCAGGGACTTGACTCTAATTTAATAACCCTGGAGTTGGCTCACTCCTACTGTTTTGTTGCCACTTTAAATCCACAAAGCAACTAGCTAAACAGCATTAAAGCCATTCACTGCTGGAGCTGATGTATTGGTTTTCTTTAATTTTGCGCAGAAAATATGTGACTGGCATTTTCTAATTCAATCCCTGAGGAGACAGCACAGTAGTTAAAATTCAGCAGCCCCAGAGAACAGACTGACTGAAGAGCATCGCAGTTGGGCTCTGAGCTCTTGGCTGCGTGACCTTGGGTGAGAGGCTTACAATCTCTAAGCCTGGCTTTCCTCACCTCTAAAATAGGGATGAAATTGGCATCTACGTCATAGGGCTTTTGTGAGGATGCCTGAAGATAATCCATTAGAAAGAAGACTTATTGGTTGGTATTGTCGTTGATGCCCTACAATGGGGTGGTTACTGTTCTCTCCTGCTCCCTGAACTTTGATGCTTGATATGATTTATAAGTATCTATTCATGAATTCAGGAGCCCTGGCACCATGGTGGGTTATGTATTGGACTACTAACCCAGCAGTTAGCGATTTAAAACCACCAGCTGTTCCTGGGGAGAAAGATGAGGCTTTCTACTCCCATAAAGAGTTGACCTTGGAAACCCATAGGGGCAGTTCTACTCTGTCCTAGAGGGTCTCTACGAATCGGAATTGACTTGATGGCAGTGAGTTTAGCTCTGTTGTTGTTTGGTTTCTGTATTCATGAACTCATTCCACAAATATTTGGGTTTCTGTTACGTCCTAAAACACCCCTGGTGGCATAGTGGCTTATGTGTTGTGCTGCTAACTTGCTAACTTCAAGGTCAGCAGTTCAACTCCACCAGGCCCTCCATAAAAATGAGGCTTTTTCCACTCAAGTACTCCCTCAATGCAAGAATACTTTCTTCTATTAAATTGGCATTCTA